TTTTTTTTTTTTTTTTTTTTTTTTTTTTCCCCCCCTCCCCCGCCTCTAATCGAGACGGGGGTCTCACTCTGTCGCCCAGGCTGGAATGCGGTGGCGCGATCATAGCTCACTGCAAACTCCAACTCCCAGGTTCAAGCGATCCTCCCGCCTCAGTCTCCCGAATAGCTGGAACCGCAAGCGCGCACCACTACGCCCGGCTAATTTTTTTTTCACTTTTTTGTAGGGACAAAGTCTCGCTATGTTGCCCAGGCTGATCTCCAGCTCCTGGGCTCAAGCGATCCTCCCGCCTCGGCTTCGCAGAGTGCTGGGATTACAGGCGTGAGTCACCGCGCCTGGCCAAGCCCAGCCTTTTTCTAAAACTGAGTTTGCTTGGGTCGATCGAGGTTTATGAATCAGCTCTGTCACCAGTCAGCGTCTCGAAATGGGGTTGGCAGAATCCCTGCTATTGAGTAGCTGGAGAGCTACACGCTAATTCTAGCTCTGCCCTTCCTGTCTGATTGATCTTTGTCAGTCATTTAACTCCCACCCCGTCCTCAATTTTTGTTATTGTTGTTGTTTACTTTTTTATAGAACGCTTCACGTATTTGCGTGTCATCCTCTCGCATAGTGCCATGCTAATCTTCTCTGTATCGTTCTAAGTTTAGTATATGTGGTGCGAAGTGAGCACCCATCCTCAATTTCTATTCTATAAATTGGCAATGATAATTCCAATCTGAGGATCAGAGATTAATGCTTCTGAAGGGCCTGGTGTTGTGCCCAGCACACAGGAAGTGTTCAATAAAGTAGTCTGCATGGTGGTGCAGTGGAAGGATCCTAGGCTTTGGAGCCAGAAAGACCTCAGTTCCAGGCACAGATGGACCATTACCAACTGTATGATCTTGAGCAAGTCATTGTGTTGCTTTTGAGATTACCCATGTGTAAAACGGGAATGATAATGCCTACCCAGACTACCTCAGGGAATGGTTATGGGGTTCAGATGAGCTGATGAACCAAGAAGGTATTTGGAGTTCACTTCCAGTCTTAGGAGACAAGCCATACAACAGGTTGACTGAAAGAGACCATGGGAAAGCTGTTTTGAGTATAGCCTTGCCTCCCTTCAGATACTAACCCTAGTTGAAGTTCTTCCCTGAAAGGTGTAAGTAATAAATGGGTTCTAAGTAGTGTTTTCTGCTCATGAGACTTAATGGGAGGAGGGGACTTTCATGTTTACCAGGCCTGTTGTGTTCATGGCTCTGTGCCAAATGCACATTATCACATTGAATCTTCTCATGATCATCTCACTCTAGCCCCATATGTTTCACTCACTACACATCTAAAACTGAACTCAAGATAGTAATCATGGCTACCCTTCACCAAGTACTTACTATGTACCTAGCACTGAGTGCTAACAGCTTTGATGTTCCCTTTACCAGGGAATAGCACTCCCATCCAGCCGTTGTCCAAGCCAGAACCTGGGAGTCAACCTTGACTGCTCCCTCTTCCTCAAGTCCCACATGTCTGTCAATCCCAAGTCCTGCCAATTCTACCTCCCAAATCTCTAGACTCTGCAATTCTACTGCCACTACTCTAGTCCAAGCCACTGTCCCCTACCACCTAAACTATTTTAAAAGCCTCCTCCCTACTTTTCTTCCTTCCAGGACTGTTTCTCTATATCTACTCTCCATAGCCAGAATGATCATTCTGAAACACAAACTTCATCATGACTTTTCTGTTTAAAAGCCTTTAGAAGTCCCCACTATCTTTAGGATGAAGTTCAAAATTCGCGTCATAGCGTCAAAGCTTTTTGTTATCTGGCCTACCTCTCCATCCTTCCTCTCCTCAGCCCCACACTCTCCTCCCCAGCTGGACTGAAATACTTTCAGTTCCCCAAAGGCCTGAGCTCACTCTCTAACCTCCAGGTCATTGCACATGCTGTTCCCTCTGCCCAGAACATTGCATCCTTTGATTTGCTGCCTGGCTAACTCCAACTCATTCCTTGTGTGTTGGCCAGGTTAAGTTCTCCTGCCATCTGCATGCTTCTATAACCCATGGATCTTAGTTCTGCCACACCATGTTGTAATTACTTGTCTGCCTTCCATGCTCAACTATACATCAGAGACAATGTCTACTTTGCCCACCTTTGTATCCCTAGGGCTGGCACATAATGGAAGTTAATAAATATTTGGTGACTAAATGAATTATCCCTATTTCACAGATTAGCAACCTGAGGCAAGAGAAGGTAAATGATTCTCTCACCCAGGGACTGGAACCCAGATCAACCTGAATCCATGGTCTGTCTGCTCAGTGCTCTACAGAACTCAGCCACACACTAACCTAGTGTAGCCAGTAGCCCAGAAGAGAGAATGTAGGGGGCGTCCATAAGGAAAGGAAATTCACCAAACCAAGTGATGCTTTTATTAGGGTTAAATTCAGAGTTGTTTGCTGTCAGGAAGCCTGGGTTTAAGTCTCCTCTATGTGTTTCTCTGGGTCTCAGTTTCCCCATCTGTGAATCAGGAAGCTGGCGCAGATGATATCCAAGGAGGAATGTCTCAGGACCCCCTGGCCTGCCTCACTGGCTGTAGATGGACTCCTCAAACCACGTTCTTTCATTTCTCCTGGATCCCCATCTTCCAGAATACATCACCAACCATCCATCTCCCATACCTTGACCCATACCTGCCCTTCTCCTAGCCAAAAGGGATTGAAATCAGAGTGTTTTCAACCCCCAAGCCCAACCCAGCCCCCAAATCCACAGAGCCAGGAGATACTCAGTCCTCATCTCTCCTCTCAGGTTTTATTGACTGATGGAAACTACATCTTTGTCAGCCGCCAGCTCCATGGGGACAGTGCTGGGGACAGGGAACCTGAGATGATGCCAGATTTCAGCCTGAGAGCAGAGTTCTGGAAGGTGACCCAAGAGGGAGAAGAAAGGAATATGGGAAAAGGAATTGTAGGGGAGGAGGAGGAGAAGTTCCTCCTGTCTCCTATAACTCCCAAAGTTCAAAAACATCCCAGGCCTGAGCCCCTGATGCTTCTGGACTCTTGCCCAAGAACATGGAATCAGCCCATGATCTCCAAATACAGCCTAGCTCTTGCTGGTTGCCAGGCTCTTATCTCGGCCAGTCCAGACTCCAGCCCAACCCAGGAAGGAGGCAAACCAGAGGAGAAGAGAGGAGGAGGAGGAGTTAGAGGTGGCCCCTCTGATTAGGGCAGATGTAAATGCTGCAGCAAACTGGTCAGAGGCTTTGCATAATGACACGGCAGCAGCTGCTATTGCTAGAGTTTGCTGGGGGCCCGGCAGAGGACAGGGTTGCGGGGTCCCATTTCCAGCAGCCAGGGAAAGGGATGGTAGAATTTGTGCTATCTGAGTGTGTGTTGGGAGAGGCAGCCTGACCCCTCAGGCAAGGCCTGGGGATGGCAGGTCACTGCAGAGGCCACAGCCCATGAA